GCGCAGCTCCTTCAGCTGTAGTTTTTGTATCTGGCTGTGTGTATCCTTCATTATTTAACGTTTTGTCCTTCAAACAGCTTTAACTTCATTAATTATAAATCAAATGTTACTCTTTAAGTTACTGTTACTTGAGTAGTATTTTTCCCAAATACTTTTTTACTCATGAGTATTTTTATTTATTTTTTTATATCACTACATTGTACTTCTACTTGAGTAATATTTTGAAGTAATGTTACTCTTACTTGAGTAAATATCTGGCTCCTCTACCCACCTCTGCTCAGTGTGTAATTGATACTTTCCAATGACATCACACTGGGGGTGTTTTACATGTACATCTATAGTGCAATGTTCAGCAGTTACTATGGTGACATGATACTGTAGCTCTGCTCTTTTGAGGTTTTGACCTTTTGTCTGTTTCACAGGAACTTTCTTCAAAATGTCTCTTCTTTCACTTCTGCTGGTGCTTCTGCCGCCTCCATCGCTCTTTTACTCTTTAAAGAACTGCACAGCCGACTTCTATGACCGTACAGTGATAGATTGTGGACACAGTCACTTGACCACGGTTCCATCTCACATTCCCAAAAGTGCTACACTGATAAATCTGGTGTCAAACCAAATCGAGACAATCAAACAGACAGATCTGCGAGGCTTTACACAACTTCAAACTTTAAAATTAGGAAATAACCACATTTCACTCATAGAAGACGGAGCTTTTATGGATCTATCATCTTTAACTCATCTGAACCTGGCAGTAAACCATCTTTCATCCCTGACAGACAACACGTTTAAGGGGCTGTCCAACTTAGTCACTCTTGATTTGTCACTTAACGAATTTCAAAACATTTCAAAGTTTGCGTTTGAACCTTTGAAGTCACTGCAGGAAGTGTATATGTCCTTTGTCCCAGTGGACATGATCAATATAATTTCACACACACCGTCTATAAGGATTTTATCTGTAGAGACAGAATCATTTGAAGCTGACGTTTTTCCGTTCCCTCTGCTAAACCTTACGATGTTGCAATTGGGCTCATTCCCTTTAAAAAAGTTCAGTGTTCATGGGAATGTCTTGCCTCAGTTAGAATATCTTATTTTATCAACCAATCACCATGAAGTTGAATGGGATGTACCAAATAAAGCTGTTTTAAAAAGTTTGAAGCGTTTAGAGTTATCTTTTAAAAAGATGACAACTGAAAGCTATCTGTCTATTTTACAAAGTGTTGATTCAGTGGAGTTTCTTGAGCTCACAACGTTTGGAAATCCATTTGACCAAAGTGTGATGGACGCAGCGTGCAGTATTCCATCTTTACAAAAGTTGAAAATAACATACAGAAACATAACTATGATAAATGACACTTACCTACGGGCCTGTTCTAATCTCACTGAACTGGGGTTTTACTCTAATGCATTGAGCGAACTGTCAGAGTGTTCCCTCCGAATGATGACGAGACTCAAGCGACTCAACATAGAGAGTAATGGTTTAACCCGAATCCCCACGACCATCAGAAACCTGTCCACCATCACACACCTGTCCTTTCTATCCAACCACATTACAAAACTTCAGTGTTCTGACTTTTTAAATTTGCCACTGTTAGAAGAACTTAATCTTAATTACAATAAAATTTCCAAATTTAAAAATTGTGTATTGAAGGATCTTAAGAATATACGTGTACTTTATCTAAAGCATAATGCTTTTTCTACATTAGACGAGAGTTTTCGCAGCAGTTTTCCCTATTTGGTTGATTTCAGTGCTGAAGACAACTACCTAAGGTTAGTTCACAAAGGAACTTTTAATAAAATGTTATATCTTACAGATTTAAATATCAAATCTAAATCAGCAACTAATGTGGAGAATGGTACATTTGAGGGACTATTGAATCTAAGACATCTGAGTTTTTCTCAAACTTACCAAAGTGGGGGCATAATTTCAGGTTTAGAACATCTGGAAAGTCTAGTTGTGTTCATTACTAGTAACAAAGAAACTGTGGTATCAAACCCAGTGACTCTTAACCTTTCATCGCTTCAGAAGTTAACCGTGGAAGTGGACAGAAACGTGTGTGTGGATCAGGCTCTGTATAATCTTCACAACATGACAAACCTACAGGTGTTTTCACTGGAAACTATCTGCTGTGACATTCCTACTCACACGTTTTTGGAAACTCCACATTTACAAAAGCTTAAAATCACCAACTGTGTGGACTTTAGTCCAGACTTGGACCTGTTCAAAACTATTTCAGAATTAAAATTTCTAGACTTGTCACATAATAAAATTCAAAGCTTGTCTTTTTTCTCTAGAGCTAATCTAACTAAACTGGAACAACTGATTTTACGAAACAATGAATTACAAATCATCAATGAGACGATTTTTGAGGCACTTCCTTCACTGAAATACCTCGACTTATCAGAAAATCCGTTTGCATGTGATTGTTCAAATGCAGAGTTCATTATCTGGGCAATCAAAAACAAGCAGGTTCAAGTGGTCAATGGTTTTCAGTACAGATGCTCCTCTCCGTTGTCTCTAGATGGACAGTTTCTGCTAGACTTTAAAGTGCAGTTGTGTTGGGAGGAGACTAGCTTCCTCTGCTTCCTGTTCAGCTCTGGTCTGGTCCTGTTCACTCTCCTCTCTTCGTTTATCTATCACTTTATGCGCTGGCAGCTGGCCTATGGCTTCTATCTGCTGCAGGCTTTTCTCTACGACAGTAAAAAGAAGAGACAGGGAAAACCTAGTCTCTATGATGCGTTTGTGTCCTACAACTGTCACGATGAAGACTGGGTTTACAGAGAGTTAGTACCTGAACTGGAGGAGCGGCGGGGATGGAAGCTGTGCCTGCACCATCGAGACTTTCAACCAGGTAACTCAAAGCAAGGAGATTTTTACAAGATGAGATGATATATGAGACAAGAAGAAGATTTTGACATAGTTTATGATAAATTATTTGATACAACGATAGATAAAGTGGAATGTAACACCTAAACTCCACCCACAACCAGATTTCAAACAGAGCTAAGGACTAAAGGACTACATTCCTATAGTAACTGAGATCTGCACACACCCAGGAAGCTGCAAATTTGCATATTTTGCACCAAATTTAAAAAAAAAAAAGAACTACAAACATAACAACAATTCTTTGACTAAATGAACTTGATTTGTGGGGTTCCACAAGGGTCGATCATAGGACCCTTTTTGTTTTATATATGATTTTATTACAGATTAGTACAGTTTCTTGTTATATAGTGTCCTTTTCAGGATAGTTCAAGATCATTCAAAAGATACAATATTTAGTTTTACATGAATTGCTATGGCAACTGTCCTAATATTTCATCATCCTGAAACCCATGGATGAGGCTTTTTCTGACACAGTTTCATGTATTGTTCAGTTTCTCCCCATATGCAGTGGTAAGTGGTTACTTCTAAAGCCATACCTGTCCTGGGGTGGATTGACCAAGGCATGCCTGCCAATCTGCCATTCACTCAAACCTTATTTATACTTATACTTAAACCAGGTTGGTGAAGTGTCTTGCCCAAGGACACAACAATATGCTGAAACTGGGATGAAATCGTGCCCACTTTGAATGAGTTTGTGGACCTAAATGGCTTGATAACATCTTGAAACCCTGTGGATTGGATTTTAATCATGTTGTGTTTTGTTGTCAGGGAAACCGATCATTGAGAACATCACAGACGCCATCTACAGAAGCAGGAAGACTCTGTGTGTGATCAGCCGCCACTACCTCCAGAGCGAGTGGTGCTCCCGGGAGATTCAGATGGCCAGGTACTCCAGTTCATTCTAGACCACATTTAACAGAATGAATGTGTCAAATTACACACCATAAGTAATGGTATCTCCATGGAGACAAGCAGGTGGTGGACCACCTCCACCAGAAAAGTTACATAGTGCAGATTTAAATCACTTGGTGATGGTACGATACTTATGTCAGAGCTACACTGGTGTAGACTGATAGAGATGTTGCAGTTCTGTGCAACAGCTTCCAGACAAAACTTAACAAAGGCAGGTGAATGATGAGTTTTGCCCCAGGGAAACACAGTATGCAATACCACAACATGGACTCTCTATATAAATGGACATAACTAACCTGCTGGCAGCCGTGTTTCAAACAGGAAGTGACCATAGGCTCCCTTCCGACTCTATTGACTCCAGCTGCTTTTATTTTTATTTAAATCAATTCCTTTTCTTAATATGAAACTTGGCTCCAAATTTGCTCCTTTTAACTGCTCGGTGAACTTTGACTGGAGCCAAAGGACTCTCTTTGTCCACTTCTTTATACAGTCCATGTGCCAGAGCCACCATCCTTCTGTTTACTAAGTGAGCGTTACTACCAAGACAGAAACATCTGCCCCATTAACTAGATTTTCAGCTGGTTTGATATTAACTCATAATTATGGGTCTACAGTCGACTGTTTTCTAGTCTATTCATATATCATATTCATAACTGTGTCTTTTTATGCAGCTTCCGTCTGTTTGATGAGAAGAGGGATGTGCTGATCTTGTTGTTTCTGGAGGAGCTCTCGTCCAATCAGCTGAGCCCATTCTACAGAATCAGGAAGTTAGTGAGGAGCCACACGTATCTGAGCTGGAACCAGGCCCGTGGGAATAAGGCTTTGTTCTGGGAGAAACTCCAAAAAGCTCTGGAGAATGGGAACAACCCTGCCGGCAACCCCAACCGTCATGCTGCTAATGTGTAGCTGCACTATGTACGGGGTGAAGAAGTTCAGTTGTTTTGTTTTTCTTTGTGTCTTTAGGCAAGACACTTACCCATGTTGTCTAGTATGAATTCGTTGTGTATGGACTTAAACTGCCGCTTCATGACATCACAAATTGGAACAGAGCATTTTAAGCTTCTGATATGTAGACAGACTTATAATAAAAGGTTTCTCAAACATGTGTAAATGAAACAACACAACCTTTGAACACTGAGTTTAGTGATGTGGTTTTTATATATGACTGATCTTGAATGTATTTCTAAGCCTCCAACTTCTCATTTCAATTGTTTCCTGTTTTTATGTTTATTTAAATATCTCAAAAATCGCCCAAGACTTTCTCAGTTCCTCTTCACTGGAGTGGAGCAGCAGCGGTGAGTCTAACTTTGTTAAGACTTTTTAAAATTTTTTATTATTATTATTACTATTATTATTATTTATTTTTTTTATTATTATATAACATTAATATAGCATTATTGCCAACCATTAAAGTAGCAGCTGACGTTTGGAAACAAAAATATGGCAGGTATTGGACCAAATCAGGACTAAAGCAACGTTGTAACTTTGTGGTTAGGGGGTGCGTCACCTTGTTACTATGGATACATCATTGCTCTGCTTCAAATGTTCCACAATATGACATTAAACAGCTGGACATTACATTTATTTAATTACAGGTGGTTTTACAGCTCAAAAATACCTAGAAAAAAAGTACTCTAACCCTGAGTGGGGTCGCCTCTCCACAGATCTGACCATTCACTTGACCTGGTTTGGTCTCCATGAAGATAGAAAAGTTTAATGCCATATTGTGAAACATTCCAGACAAAGCAAAAACATCTCCAGAATAAAAGTTATATAATGCACCTTCAAGTAAAAGTACAGTTACTTCAAAATAATATTACTCATGTACAAAGTAGTGGGCCAAGAAATTACTCAAGTAAGAGTAAAATGTATTTAAGGAAACCACTACTCAAATAAGAGTCACTGTAAAGAAATAAAAAAAGATAATGAAAAAGTAAAAGGTTAAAATCAGGACTAAATCAATGTTGTGTTTCATTTGATTTGCTTCAGTGACTTTAGTCCTCTATTGTAAAACACAATGTGAGTTTTCTTCAGTTTAAACTAAAATGTAAAACATGCAACATTATTTGATGTCTAATACAAATAAATCTGAATGAGAATTAAATATGAGCCAAACTGAGATAGTGAAACATTTCCTTTGAGAGCTGGACTCATGAAAACAAATACATCTTTATGTTAAAGGTGCATTATGCAACTTTTCTGGTGGAGGTTTGACACCAGTTAAGACTGAAGGAAGCTTTTCTAGAATTTTACAGATTATGGCTTTGAATTTATTGATCTTGTGTTTATTCAACAACAGGTGTTTTATTTGCTAAAAAAAATATCTTGAAAAAACATCCATTGTTATGAGCAGAGCCAGCTCTCCACACAAATACTATTCTAAACACATAGTTTTACTCCTACTTGAGTATTATTGTTACTGAAGTGACAGTACTTGAGTAAAACGTTTTGGTTACTTTTTCCACTGTAAGTTTCCGAGTGACAAAAACTTCATGTTGACAATATGAAATAATTTGAACATTTGTGATTCTTGTGCAGCTCCTTCAGCTGTGGTTTTTGTATCTGGCTGTGTGTATCCTTCATTATTTAACGTTTTGTCCTTCAAACAGCTTTAACTTCATTAATTATAAATCAAATGTTACTCTTTAAGTTACTGTTACTTGAGTAGTATTTTTCCCAAATACTTTTTTAGTCGTGAGTTTTTTTTTTGTATCACTACATTGTACTTCTACTTGAGTAATATTTTGAAGTAATGTTACTCTTACTTGAGTAAATATCTGGCTCCTCTACCCACCTCTGCTCAGTGTGTAATTGATACTTTCCAATGACATCACACTGGGGGTGTTTTACATGTACATCTATAGTGCAATGTTCAGCAGTTACTATGGTGACATGATACTGTAGCTCTGCTCTTTTGAGGTTTTGACCTTTTGTCTGTTTCACAGGAACTTTCTTCAAAATGTCTCTTCTTTCACTTCTGCTGGTGCTTCTGCCGCCTCCATCGCTCTTTTACTCTTTAAAGAACTGCACAGCCGACTTCTATGACCGTACAGTGATAGATTGTGGACACAGTCACTTGACCACGGTTCCATCTCACATTCCCAAAAGTGCTACACTGATAAATCTGGGGCCAAACCAAATCGAGACAATCAAACAGACAGATCTGCGAGGCTTTACACAACTTAAAATTTTAAATTTAGGAAATAATTGCGTTTCACTCATAGAAGACGGAGCTTTTATGGATCTGTCATCTTTAACTCATCTGAACCTGGCGAGAAACGATCTTTCATCCCTGACAGACAACATGTTTAAGGGGCTGTCCAACTTAGTCACTCTTGATTTGTCACTTAACAGATTTCGAAAAATTTCGAAGTTTGCGTTTGAACCTTTGAAATCACTGCAGGAAGTGTATATGTTTCCTATATACTTTGTCCTAGTGGACATGATCAATATAATTTCACACACACCGTCTATAAGGATTTTATCTGTAGAGACAGAATCATTTGAAGCTGACGTTTGTCCGTTCCCTCTGCTAAACCTTACGAAGTTGCACTTGGACTCATTATCTTTAAAAAAGTTCAGTGTTCATGGGAATGTCGTGCCTCAGTTAGAATATCTTATTTTATCAAACTCTGGACCTGAATTTGAATGGGATGTACCAAATAAAGCTGTTTTAAAAAGTTTGAAGCGTTTAGAGTTATCGTTTAAAAAGATGACAACTGAAAGCTATCTGTCTATTTTACAAAGTGTTGATTCAGTGGAGTTTCTTGAGCTCACAGCGTTTGGAAATCCATTTGACCAAAGTGTGATGGACGCAACGTGCAGTATTCCATCTTTACAAAAGTTGGAAATAACACACAGAAACATAACTATGATAAATGACACTTACCTACGGGCCTGTTCTAATCTCACTGAACTGGGGTTTTACTCTAATGCATTGAGCGAACTGTCAGAGTGTTCCCTCCGAATGATGACGAGACTCAAGCGACTCAACATAGAGAGTAATGGTTTAACCCGAATCCCCACGACCATCAGAAACCTGTCCACCATCACACACCTGTCCTTTCTATCCAACCACATTACAAAACTTCAGTGTTCTGACTTTTTAAATTTGCCACTGTTAGAAGAACTTAATCTTAATTACAATAAAATTTCCAAATTTAAAAATTGTGTATTGAAGGATCTTAAGAATATACGTGTACTTTATCTAAAGAATAATGCTTTTTCTACATTAGACGACACTTTTGGCAGCAGTTTTCCCCATTTGGTTGATTTCAGTGCTGAAGACAACTACCTAAGGTTAGTTCACAAAGGAACTTTTAATAAAATGTTATATCTTACAGATTTAAATATCAAATCTAAATCAGCAACTAATGTGGAGAATGGTACATTTGAGGGACTATTGAATCTAAGACATCTGAATTTTTCTCAAACTTACCAAAGTGGGGGCATAATTTCAGGTTTAGAACATCTGGAAAGTCTTGTTGTGTTCATTACTAGTAACAAAGAAACTGTGGTATCAAACCCAGTGACTCTTAACCTTTCATCGCTTCAGAAGTTAACCGTGGAAGTGGACAGAAACGTGTGTGTGGATCAGGCTCTGTATAATCTTCACAACATGACAAACCTACAGGTGTTTTCACTGGAAACTATCTGCTGTGACATTCCTACTCACACGTTTTTGGAAACTCCACATTTACAAAAGCTTAAAATCACCAACTGTGTGGACTTTAGTCCAGACTTGGACCTGTTCAAAACTATTTCAGAATTAAAATTTCTAGACTTGTCACATAATAAAATTCAAAGCTTGTCTTTTTTCTCTAGAGCTAATCTAACTAAACTGGAACAACTGATTTTACGAAACAATGAATTACAAATCATCAATGAGACGATTTTTGAGGCACTTCCTTCACTGAAATACCTCGACTTATCAGAAAATCCGTTTGCATGTGATTGTTCAAATGCAGAGTTCATTATCTGGGCGATCAAAAACAAGCAGGTTCAAGTGGTCAATGGTTTTCAGTACAGATGCTCCTCTCCGTTGTCTCTAGATGGACAGTTTCTGCTAGACTTTAAAGTGCAGTTGTGTTGGGAGGAGACTAGCTTCCTCTGCTTCCTGTTCAGCTCTGGTCTGGTCCTGTTCACTCTCCTCTCTTCGTTTATCTATCACTTTATGCGCTGGCAGCTGGCCTATGGCTTCTATCTGCTGCAGGCTTTTCTCTACGACAGTAAAAAGAAGAGACAGGGAAAACCTAGTCTCTATGATGCATTTGTGTCCTACAACTGTCACGATGAAGACTGGGTTTACAGAGAGTTAGTACCTGAACTGGAGGAGCGGCGGGGATGGAAGCTGTGCCTGCACCATCGAGACTTTCAACCAGGTAACTCAAAGCAAGGAGATTTTTACAAGATGAGATGATATATGAGACAAGAAGAAGATTTTGACATAGTTTATGATAAATTATTTGATACAACGATAGATAAAGTGGAATGTAACACCTAAACTCCACCCACAACCAGATTTCAAACAGAGCTAAGGACTAAAGGACTACATTCCTATAGTAACTGAGATCTGCACACACCCAGGAAGCTGCAAATTTGCATATTTTGCACTAAAATTGTTTAAAAATAAGAACTACAAACATAACAACAATTCTTTGACTAAATGAACTTGATTTGTGGGGTTCCACAAGGGTCGATCATAGGACCCTTTTTGTTTTATATATGATTTTATTACAGATTAGTACAGTTTCTTGTTATATAGTGTCCTTTTCAGGATAGTTCAAGATCATTCAAAAGATACAATATTTAGTTTTACATGAATTGCTATGGCAACTGTCCTAATTATTTCATCATCCTGAAACCCATGGATGAGGCTTTTTCTGACACAGTTTCATGTATTGTTCAGTTTCTCCCCATATGCAGTGGTAAGTGGTTACTTCTAAAGCCATACCTGTCCTGGGGTGGATTGACCAAGGCATGCCTGCCAATCTGCCATTCACTCAAACCTTATTTATACTTATACTTAAACCAGGTTGGTGAAGTGTCTTGCCCAAGGACACAACAATATGCTGAAACTGGGATGAAATCGTGCCCACTTTGAATGAGTTTGTGGACCTAAATGGCTTGATAACATCTTGAAACCCTGTGGATTGGATTTTAATCATGTTGTGTTTTGTTGTCAGGGAAACCGATCATTGAGAACATCACAGACGCCATCTACAGAAGCAGGAAGACTCTGTGTGTGATCAGCCGCCACTACCTCCAGAGCGAGTGGTGCTCCCGGGAGATTCAGATGGCCAGGTACTCCAGTTCATTCTAGACCACATTTAACAGAATGAATGTGTCAAATTACACACCATAAGTAATGGTATCTCCATGGAGACAAGCAGGTGGTGGACCACCTCCACCAGAAAAGTTACATAGTGCAGATTTAAATCACTTGGTGATGGTACGATACTTATGTCAGAGCTACACTGGGGTAGACTGATAGAGATGTTGCAGTTCTGTGCAACAGCTTCCAGACAAAACTTAACAAAGGCAGGTGAATGATGAGTTTTGCCCCAGGGAAACACAGTATGCAATACCACAACATGGACTCTCTATATAAATGGACATAACTAACCTGCTGGCAGCCGTGTTTCAAACAGGAAGTGAGCATAGGCTCCCTTTCGACTCTATTGACTCCAGCTCCTTTTATTTTTATTTAAATCAATTCCTTTTCTTAATATGAAACTTGGCTCCAAATTTGCTCCTTTTAACTGCTCGGTGAACTTTGACTGGAGCCAAAGGACTCTCTTTGTCCACTTCTTTATACAGTCCATGTGCCAGAGTCACCAACCTTCTGTTTACTAAGTGAGCGTTACTACCAAGACAGAAATATCTGCCCCATAAACTAGATTTTCAGCTGGTTTGATATTAACTCATAATTATGGGTCTACAGTCGACTGTTTTCTAGTCTATTCATATATCATATTCATAACTGTGTCTTTTTATGCAGCTTCCGTCTGTTTGATGAGAAGAGGGATGTGCTGATCTTGTTGTTTCTGGAGGAGCTCTCGTCCAATCAGCTGAGCCCATTCTACAGAATCAGGAAGTTAGTGAGGAGCCACACGTATCTGAGCTGGAACCAGGCCCGTGGGAATAAGGCTTTGTTCTGGGAGAAACTCCAAAAAGCTCTGGAGAATGGGAACAACCCTGCCGGCAACCCCAACCGTCATGCTGCTAATGTGTAGCTGCACTATGTACGGGGTGAAGAAGTTCAGTTGTTTGTTTCTTTTTTTTCCTTGTGTCTTTAGGTCAGAATGGGTGATGGTGCAATTTGGCAGCCCCACATTCAGGGCCCCAAGGCTGTCCAAACTTTTTACTGGAGATATTCTCACCATTTAACTCTTAAAATTTGTTATATGTCACTTTCTTTTCAATGACATTCTGTTTATGTAGTTTGACTTTATTTTATTGTCAAAGTGAATGTTCGTTTATATTGCATTTTATAATTAAAGCCTTAACAGATTTTCACTCTTCTCCTAAACCTTTCTCTCAAACCAGTGTTATGCTCTTCTACGTAACATTGAGTTTTCTCTGACACAGTATCTCTGCTCTGTATTCATATCTTCTGATTTAACATATGGGGGTTTCTCATATGTTTGAACAGAACCTGAAACAATAAACTTTCCACTCACGTTTGACTCCCTTTTTCTGGAAGAGTACGTGTTCCAGTGTTATTTTTGGCTTCTGTGAACACGCCGTTACTATAAACTATGAGATTGGATTCTGGTACGATATTGATTTTGGGGAAAGATAAGATGATCATTAGCAAAGCGTGACACATTTATTTGTACAGTTCTCCAGCTCTGAGGACCGTCGGTGGTTCTCAGGCTTCAGGTCAGGTGCCCATTTCAAGATAATAATAATAATATAGTAATGCAAGTCAATTCCAATCTTCCAATCTCGATTCATCCTGGCTTAAAGGTGCATTGTGTAACTTTTCTGGTGGAGGGTCCTCAAACTTTTCTCCATGGAAATGTTTTGACTTTGTCTGGGATGTTTCACAGTATGGAATTAAACCTTTCTATCTTTACGGAGACCAAACCAGACCAAGTTAGAGGTCAGAATGTTTGTTTTTCTAGGTATTTTTGAGCAATAAAACCACCTTGTGATGTTATGAAGCCTTTATTTTGTTCAGCAGAGATTGACAATCCCAGGTCTTAAGTTGTCCAAATGATTCTCGTAAAGGTGTATGGAGGTTTAAAACACAGTGAGGCGCTTCTTGTATTACCACATGACATCACAAAGTGGAACAGAGCGTTTTTCTACGGAAGCCGAGAGGGGTCACAACAAACGCAAACGCCGCAACAAATACAAATGCGACAACACAACAAAAAGCCACAACAAACCAAAAAAAAAAGCCACAACGGAAATGACCGCGGGACTCTATTTTAATGCAAACGCCACAACAAATACAAATGCCACAAACACAAACACAAAATGCCACAACACATTAAAAAGCCACAACACATCAAAAAGCCACAACGGAAGTGACCATGTGTTGTGGCGGGATGTTGTGGCTGGCTTTTTAATTGTGACGTTTGTATTTGCGGCGGCGTTTGCATTAAAATAGAGTCCCTGCGGTCATTTCCGTAGTGGCTTTTTTGTTGTGTTGTGGCTTTTTGTTGTGTTGTCGCATTTGTATTTGTTGCGGCGTTTGCGTTTGTTGTGACCCCTCTCGGTTTCTGTAGTTTTCCATATGAGAGCAGAACTCAGCGTAAAGATGTTGTGTGTTAAACATGTGGGAATGAAACAAAACACAACTCTAGGCAAGTTTGTGATGAAAAAAACAACATTATAATGTCAATTAAATGGTGTAATACTAGTATAGACCGTTTAAGATTAGTTTAGTCTTGGATTTTGGAGTTGGAACTTTCTAGGTAAACTTTGTGAATATTAAATAACTATGGTAAAATTTAGCATTCCACCAAAACTATAGAGTCTGTAATATACTGCTGCAGTCTGGCTCAAGGTATGGGGTAAAATTCAGGTAAAAATGCCTGACAAAGCTGCTACTGTTCCTCCCGACAGCGGTGCCCCATATTAAGATGGGAGATAAGGAGTGAATGGAAGCTGGGTTCATGTGTGTTGGAGGAGCAGACAGGGGCAATACTTGGCTCAGACCGACCTCTGCTACTCAAATATTTGCCCTTTAACCTCAAAATGTCCAATGGAGGAGTGGAAAAATAGTCCAGTATCAGAGTCCAGAGTTACATAAGCGAACCTGCTCTTCTGGAAATATCGGATAATACAAATAAACGAGACAAATGTGGTAGAAAATTGTTATGCAATGTTTTGACTGTAATACTGATGTTACCTAGTCTGAATCGTGGCATTTTCTACGTGGAACCTATTGATACTTTCCGGTAACATCACGTTGAGGGTGTTCTAAATGTATCTCAATGGGGTAATTTTCAACAATTACTGCGACTAGGGGTGTAACAGTACATGTATTTGTGCGGTACATGTATAAGGGATGTTCGGTTCGGTGCAGGGCTGTGCAAGAGTGAATTTGTGTTTACATTCTGCTGCTACATACATGTGCGGCCGTGATTGAGTTGACAGCATTTCCTGCAGTGCTTTATAGTTAGGGCGGCCGCATTAACAACAATTGTCCATGGATCTATTAAAATAACTGGAGGGTGTTGCTGCTTGTAGCTGCCTCCAGTTGACATAGTGGTCACTCACTGGAACTTCGGGGGAAAAAATCCCTTGGGCTGAGACACATTTTTTCTCTTAGAGCGCAATGTAATCACAAACTGCTCGTGTTCGGCTGACAGGGCACCTACTTTCAAAAATGTCAGATTTTGTGGCGATTTTTACCTATTTTTATATAATAAACTTTTTCTCAGCTCAAAATCCTTCAGTTGTGTTAAAAACTCTTTTTAATTGTTAGCTCCGGCTCCGCTCTGCTCCTCTCCCTCTGATTGGTCAAAGTGATCACATGATACACGAGTCTGCGCTTTGTGAATGTGCTCACGTGCATTCACATGTGCCCGTGGGAGAAAAGACACTACTGTGCATGTTCGGTCGGCCCACAGCCACTGAAGTACCTCGCCGGACTAAAGGCTAATCTGGAATCATGCGCCATTGAGCTCGACCCATTGACTTAAATGAGTGGCCATTTTGAAACACCAGGGCGCTGCAATTGCCCCCCGCCTTGAATACGACCCTCTAAACCATGTGAATTCTCCCAAAACTACGGTTGTCACACCCCTTTCCTCACTTTTGCCTTTCGCCGGCATGGCTTATTTGAGAATATTTTATTTACCTTATTAGTATTACCAAGCAGCACTTTGCATTTATTTTATTTTCCTGTTTGTATAATTTTAAAACAAATTGTTGGTTCAATAAACACACAAATAACCGAGGTACATACCGAACCTTGATTTTTGTGTGCCATTACACCCCTAATGGTGACACAATACACATATCAGCAAAACTTCCATAAATGTTTTAATATATTCTGAAAATTCAACTCAGAAAAACACAAAATGGATTCAAACAACACATTTTCAGGAGCCTATGATCAAAACAAGCATCCACGGTCCTGTTTAGGAGTCTGAATTTCAACAAAAAGTTAAGAATGAATGGCTTGTGACTGTAATTTTACGTGTGAGAGACTCGTTTAAGCGCACAAATCATCTCAACTTGTAGTTTCAACCAAGTCAGCTCTAGTAACTTGAGCTTCTAACAGCGCAGTGCCTTCAGTTAGCAGTATCAATACTACATTTTACTCATTACACATTACACACATAGGACTATCATATTCTGCGTTAGTCATTTTTGGACATGTGGTAAGTTAAAGTCACAAAGGAGAAATGAGTGAAGTTGCATAAAGACAATGTAGTGGGAACAGAACCACAAACCTTCATATTAGTGAGCCAATTACTCTCACAACTGAGCCAAAGTAAACTCCAAGGCTAAATGGCAAGGTTAGTCTAAATCAGCAAACGCCAACATTTTTTTCTTGTAAGTTCCAAACTAAACATTTCTTTTTTTTTTTTTTCAGGGACCAGAGAAGGGGGACTGGGAGTTTAATAACAGCGCAACATGCATACCACCCCTAACCCCGGTTTAAAAATAAAAAATCTTATTGCGTTTTTTTTTTCCAGGTTTATTTGCACTGTGTTTTCAGATTACACCACAAAGACATATGGTAGACTATAAAACAGAAATAAAATACATTTAATAACATCCCAGTTGGGGTTGAGGACCAGTTCGTTTTTAATGGCCTTAAAAATTCATAGCAGACCTAGAATTGTCAAAAGTATCGAAAATCAGATACTTATCTACACTAAAACCAGTATCGAAACTAGATACTCATTTGAGCCGATATTTATATTAAAAAACTCATATTCACAGGACAGAAATGAACCTTTTCTGAAGCTTTAGAATGATCTTGAGCTGTGTCAGAACAAGTATAAGAGCACAAAGATCACTATGGACCACTACGGTAGTCTAATCGAGAGACCAAGACCAGCTCGAGACCAAAGGATCCCGAGAAAAGGACAAGACCAAGACCTCTGAGAGTCGAGATCGAGACAAGACCAAATCTTTTAAAGATCGAGGCAAAGACATGACCAAGACCACGGCCCCTCGAGACCAAATCAAGACCATCTTTGTCATTTTCTACATTTATTTGTATTTTACAGTTATTTTGGCACATTATTGGCACATTAAGTGTTTTTTTTCCAAGTTCATAACATTTACATTTACATTCTCTTACAGGTTTTGCAGTGATATTTAGCCTCTGCACATTTACAGACCGTAATGAAATATGATCAAACTCATCGAGTTTCAGAGCTCCAGTTCGAGACAAGACTGAGACCAAGCACCTTCAAGACCGAGACAAGATCGAGACCAAGCGCCTTTAAGACCGAGACATTACTGAGACAAGACCGAGACCAAGACAAGATCGAGACAAGACTGAGACCAAGCACCTTCAAGACCGAGACAAAGATCGAGACCAAGCACCTTCAAGACCGAGACAAGATCGAGACCAAGCGCCTTAAGACCGAGACAAGACTGAGACAAGACCGAGACCAAGACAAGATCGAGACAAGACGAGACCAAGCACCTTCAAGACCGAGACAAGATCGAGACCAAGCGCCTTTAAGACCGAGACCAAGCACCTTCAAGACCGAGACAAGACTGAGACAAGACCGAGACAAGACCGAGACCAAGCACCTTCAAGACCAAGACAAGACCGAGACAAGATCGAGACAAGACTGAGACCAAGCACCTTCAAGACCGAGACAAGATCGAGACCAAGCGCCTTTAAGACCGAGACATTACAAAGACAAGACCGAGACCAAGACAAGACCGAGACAAGACCGAGACCAACCGCCTTCAAGACCGAGACAAGACTGGGACAAGACCGAGACCAAGCGCCATCAAGACCGAGACAAGACCGAGACCAAGCGCCTTCAAGACCAAGACAAGAGCGAGACAAGACTGAGACAAGACCG